CTCTCTCCTCCTCTCTGCTCCTCTCTCCTATTCTCTGCTCCTCTCTGCTCCTCTCTCCTCATCTCTCCTCCTCTCTCCTCCTCTCTGCTCCTCTCTCCTCCTCTGTCCGCCGCTCTCCTCGACTCTCCTCCTCTTTCCTTCTCTCTTCTCTTCTCTCCTCCACTCTGCTCCTCTTTGCTCCTCTTTGCTCCTCTCTCCTCCTCTCTCCTCCTCTCTGCTCCTGTCTCCTCCTCTCTCCTCCTCTCTGCACCTCTCTCTCTCTCTCCTCCTCTCTGCTCCTCTCTGCTCTCTCTCCTCCTCTTTGCTCCTCTGTCCGCCTCTCTGCTCCTCTGTGCTCCTCTCTGCTCCTCAGTGCTCCTCTCTGCTCCTCTCTGCTCCTCTCAGCTCCTCTCTGCTCCTCTCTGCTCCTCTCTGCTCCTCTCTGCTCCTCTCTGCTCCTCTTCTCTCATCCTCTCTCCTCTTCTCTCATCCTCTCTCCTCCTCTCCCCTCCTCTCTGCTCCTCTCTGCTCCTCTCTCCTCCTGTCTCCTCCTGTCTCCTCATGTCTCCTCTCCTCTCCTCCTCTCTCCTCCTCTCTCCTCCTCTCTCCTCCTCTATGCTCCTCTCTCCTCCTCTCTGCTCCTCTCTGCTCCTCTCTGCTCCTCTCTCCTCCTCTTTGCTCCTCTCTCCTCTCTGCTCCTCTCTGCTCCTCTCTGCTCCTCTCTGCTCCTCTCTCCTCTCTGCTCCGCTCTCCTCTTCTCTCCTCTCTCCTAATCTTTCCTCCTTCTCCTCCTCCTCCCCGTGCCAATGACCCCCCAGACTTCTTGGTTCTCGATGTGGTTGGGGACGCACGGGGCAGCCTTTAAGGATCCCTGCTGGGGTTCGACGAGCACCCCGACCACGAGGGCCAGGGAGTGGGGGTCGGGGCGACAAAGGCTTAATTCGGCCAGCGAATGCACGAAAGGAGCCTGCCATGGCTCGAGGCTGGGCCCGGGGATCCAGATTTTTCTTCCGATGATCGGGATCAGAGTTTGGGTTATGGAAGCAAAGAGCTACGGACTCACGAAGTTCGCATGTAACACAGCCGGTCGTTTCGACAGGAGCGACCAGGTCACACGTAGTTGAGCAGCTCACTGCAGCAACCACCACGCAGGTGGCCAGTCTGTGTACCATGCTCACTGCTTGCCGCTGCTTAGCCTACGGGTCGGGGACTACGGACCACTGCGCGGCAAGTTCGCGGTAGCCCCTGGCCCGCTGATTCGCCCGGATCAGCTTCCCATTCAGTATGCTGCCACCTCACGCACATTGCCTAAAGGGTCGGGGACTAAGGACCACTGCATAGCAAGTTCACAGTAGCCCCCGACCCGCTGATTCGACTTGATCAGCCTGCCAGCTGCCGCGCGCACAGCCATCGTCATGCACATCGCTATATCCGCCTGCCGCTGTTGCAGCTCTCGAGGCAGTGCGCGAGTATGTGAAGCACGATCGGGCATAGAAGAGCCTAAAACCACGGATAGGCCGGTACATTGAAAATGGGGATGTCAATCTTATGTTGTTCCCGTTTGCCCGCCATGCACGACAACACAAATGTCACGGAGTCGGTGCGCGGGCGATTTCCCGCCACTGCTTAGGAGAACGCTCTCCTGAGCTCCCTGAGCGTGTCGTTCTTCTGACCCGGCACTGGAGTGCGAGCGTGAGGTGAGGAATAAATCCCGTCTCAAATGCAACCGCTTGCTGTTGAGGTTGCGGTTGCTTGTAGGTCTGAGCCCATCGAAAGCCGACGGGCTGGCATCCCCCAAAAACGGGGGAACTGGCTGTCGCGGACCGCCGGCGGTCCCTTGTCGGAGCACGGGGTGTAAAGATAATTGCGCTTCCTGCCCGTTTTCGGGCTCCGGGGCAAGGCCTTGCTAGGCCGTGTCTAACGCCATTCAGCCATGCACGACAACACAAATAACGCCATTCATTGTACGTTTTATATGTGCTTACCGTTTGCGAGAAGTTCATTAGCTTCTGGGGTTGGCCGCTGGGCCCGGGGATCCAGATTTTTCTTCCGATGATCGGGATCAGAGTTTGGGTTATGGAGGCAAAGAGCTACGGACTCACGAAGTTCGCATGTAACACAGCCGGTCGTTTCGACAGGAGCGGCCAGGTCACACGTAGTTGAGCAGCTCACTGCAGCAACCACCACGCAGGTGGCCAGTCTGTGTACCATGCTCACTGCTTGCCGCTGCTTAGCCTACGGGTCGGGGACTACGGACCACTGCACAGCAAGTTCGCGGTAGCCCCTGGCCCGCTGATTCGCCCGGATCAGCTTCCCATTCAGTCTGCTGCCACCTCACGCACATTGCCTAAAGCCAGCCATGCAGGTAGAAACCAAGCTAGTGGGATTACGATGTACAACTGCAGGGCCCTGGCTCGCAGGCCAGAGGATTTATTAATCAATTCTTGGCGCGTTCCACGGCCACCCCAGTGAGGTGAGCACCCCAGCATCAACAACGTGCCTTTTCTGGGGTGGTACAGCCCCATAATGTCAAAGTAAACGTTTGCCCCTCTCGGGGTGAGATGCGTATGAAGCGTATGTTACATTTCGAGAGATTCCGAGCGAGTATAATGATGCGTGCACGTGCGATGTAAACAATGCTTGCAAGACGCTAACTCTACCATGCGTCTGCTGCCACTTGTCCTGCTGCCCTGACCAAGCAGAGGAAAATAGAGCCACACTTTGTTGTGGCATCCTGTTTCATGTCGCTTTCGCGGCCTTGCTAAAAACTACGGCCGTCCAGACCGCTACTCTGGCCACTGGCATCAACATGCGATTGGAACGCTCACGGCATCCAACCTCGCAGTGGGAAGTCACCCCGATGGGGCGACGCCCCGTTTGTGCCGCTATCGCGCGGCACAGGTGCTAGTATGTGCAGAGAGGCAGCCATCTTCACAGGGGGTCCCCCCCGAAGTGACACTCAGCACGCAAGCATCGCAAGCTGCCTGCATGGGCTGGGGCCCCTGCCGCTTTGCCACACCTACGCTGGGGCTGCAGCTCCCAGCGTTTGCCCGACCTGTCAGTGTCCCTGCACTAAGTGCAAGAGCCCCTGAATTCAGCGGCGGGGAAGCAATCGGGCCCACCTTGGGATCCGCTTCTTCCCCGGAGGGGAACCGCTGGGCAGTGCACGCCAGGAGTCAAATTGCGGACCACTGCTGCGGCAAGTTCGCTCCCCCAATATGGGATGCCACCCCGTAGGAGCCCCGATTCGACAGGATCACTTTGGGGCATGAGGTGAGGAGGGGGTGGCGGCCAGCGAAATCGATAAAGAGGTGGAACATCGACGGGTGTTCCTCACTAAGCACCTCAGTATCGTGGCTATCCGTCATCCCCCAGCTTTAGTCTGCGCGGCGGACACCCGCATCGGCCAGACCCCGCCCCCTAGGGGCTGAGGTGCGAGTGCACGACCCGCTGACTAAAGATACATCTGAGACAATCCTTCTCCTCCTCCTCCTCCTCCTCCGCCCTCCGCCATCCTCCTCCTCCTCCTCCTCCTCCTCCGCCCTCCTTCTCCTCCTCCTCCTCCTCCTCCTCCTCCTCCATCTCCTCCTCCTCCTCTTCGTCAACGATCACGTCTTCCTCGTCGTTCTCCTGTCTGAGATCCGTCGTTGCGACAAATACAACGTCGCGAAACATCACGAGCGGAGCCCTAGACTTCATCTCCCTGCGGCATTTTTCGAGCTGGATCGATCTTTGATGGCCCGGGGACCCGAAAATAAGCGCAAACGTCCAGCGTGAAAAGTTGCAGCGCCTGGATCTCAAGGTGTTCCTCCTCTTCCTGCTCATCCTCTGCCCCCTCCCTCTGCCTCTCCTTCCTCGACTTCCATCCCTCTTCCTTATCAGAACTCCTCCCTGTCGCACCCGCAGACGTGTCCCTAGGCCAGGCCGGGCTTTTCGCCTCAGACTTCCTCACCATATGAGTCTGAAGCTTGAAAGTTGAAGCAATTTCCAAGATTAAGGGCGGTCCGGCTTTGAAAATGGAAGTATCGCCTTGGCGTCGCGCACATCCTTAAAAGTTCGCATCAGCTTCAAGGATGGAGGGCGGGCTGTTTTCGAAATAGAGCTATCGCCTTAGCTCTGCGCACCTTCGTCTTAAACAAACTGCAGCAATGTCAAGGATGGAGGCAGTTTTTTTGTTTTTTTCCAAAATGCGGATCTCGCTTTGGTGCCGCGTACATTCGTCTTGGAAGTTCACAACAGTTTCAAATATTCGCACCGTGGAGAAACGGTGTTGTTACGGCACGATGTAGGTCAGGACGCAAGGGATTCGTGGCGTTGAAGACCCAGGAGTGGTGTTCTGGTAATTAAGGTTCAGGATTGTCAGGACGCAACAGTCGAGTTGACCCGCGCCGTTGAATTTCCAGGAACTGTTTTTGGCACGATCTAGGACTCCCAAATCATTTAGTAGATTGAGGGGTGCAAGAATCCGACCGAACTTGAAATACGAAGCTGTCGTTTTATTGCATCTGTCTCGTCTTGGCGAGGTATATCCCCTTTTGTGTTCATGGGGTGGTTGCCATTCAAGTGGCCACTTCCTGCAGAATGGAACTGCATTCCTGCCTGATCTTTTGAAGAAGGAAACTTGGAGGGAGGGTTTATTGCAATACCGGTGATGCGTCTTGAGTTTGCACTCGTCCTCCCTCCTCCCCTCTCTCCTCCTCCTCCTCCCCCCTCCTCTCCCTCCTCCCTCCCCTCCTCCTGGTCCTCCTCCTGCTCCTCCGAACGCCGCGGGCCCCTTTGCCGCGGATGCTCTGTGGTCGGGCGCCGGCGCACTCCCCCCCCCGCCCGTCAAACGGGGCAGTTAACCCCCGGAGCGACGCGCAACAGGCGGCCGCTTCCACGAGAAGGGGGTGCGCTGGCTGGGGCCTCCAGTCTGGTTCTCCTTCTCCTCCTCCTCCTGCCCCTCCTCCTCCTCCTCCTCCTCCTCCTCCTCCTCCTCCTGCCCCTCCTCCTCCCCACTCCCCCCCCCCGCCGGGCCCCACCTGAGGCCCAGCCAGGCGAGCGAGGAGCAGGCGCAGTCGCGCTGCGCCCGGCTCGCCTGCGGCGCGCGTGCGCGCGAGCGCCAGCCTCCGTGCTTCGAGGGCGGGGCCCAGGCCCTCTGTGGAACCCGCCTGAACCATCGGTATAGAACTTACTTGCACCGAGCGTCAACATCAAGACCAACATCCTCCTCCTCCTCCTCCTCAGCATCATCAGCATCATCGACACGACTATCATCATCCCTTTCAACATTACCATTACCATTACCATTACAATTACCATTGCCATTACCATTACCATTACCATTACCATTACCATCATCATCATCATCATCATCATCATCATCATCATCATCGTCATCATCATCATCATCACCATCATCATCATCATCATCAAAACCACCACCATCATCATCATCATCATCATCACCATCATCATCACCACCTTCATCATCACAATCATCATCATCGTCAGCATCACCACCACCATCATCGTCATCATCGCCACCATCATCATCATCATCATCATCATCATCGTCATCAATACAACCACCGCCACCACCACCATCATCATCATCATCAGCAGCAGCACCACCATCATCGTCACTATTATCACCATCCCTATCACCATCATCATCATCATCACCATCATCACCACCACTATCGTCACCGTCACCATCAGCACCATCAGAATCATCATCATCATCATTACCATCATCATCATTATCATCATCAGCATTACCATCATCATCAGCAGCATAATCACTATCATCATCAACGTCATCAACATCCTCATCATCATAATCATCATAACAATAATCAGCATCATAATCATTAGCATCTTCATTGCGATCATCGTCATCACCATCATCGTCACCACCATCGCTACCACTACCATCATAATCATCATCACCATGACCACCAACATTGCCATCATCATCGTCATCATCATCGTCTTCATCGTCATCATAATAATCATCATCACCAGCACCATCATCATCATCATCATCATCATCATCATCATCACCATAACCATAACCATTACCATTACCATCACATCACCATCACCATCACCATCATCATGACCACTACCATCATCACCGACTTCGTCATCATCATCACCACCATCACCATCACCATCACCATCATCATCAACATCATCAACATCATCATCATGATCATCATCGTCATCGTCATCATCATCACCATCAACATCATCACCATCACCATCACCATCACCATCATCATCATCATCATCATCATCATCATCATCATCATCATCATCATCATCATCATCCTCGTCCTCGTCCTCATCCTCGTCCTCGTCCTCGTCCTCGTGCTCTTCCTCCTCCTCTTCTTCTTCCTTCCCTCACCCCCACCTCATCCTCCCCTTGGTGTGGGTGGGCGTGAAACGGGGTGCATGGGGAGAGAGGATGCGCTAATTACGATTGGAATGCTGGGAGGGAGCGAGAGGGAGAAAGAGAGAGAGAGAGAGAGAGAAAAAAAGAGAGAGAGAGAGAGAGAGAGACGGAGGGAGGAACGACGTGGAGAGAGGATGGGGGGAGCAAGAAGAACGCACAAGACGGCCTGAGATGCCCCAGGAATGCACCCAAACCGCCTATGAAACCTCCAAGACGCACAAGAAACGACCAGACCGGACAATACCCGACCAGACAGGACCAAACCATATCAGACCAGATGACAGGGGAGGAGGTGCTAGCGGGATGGGTGGCAACCTGCTCCACCGAGTGCGAGGGTCGATGTAAAAAGGGGAACCTCATTTCTTAACTTGTCCGTCCTTCGACCCGCTACCCCATCCCTCCTCCACAGGGTTTGACGGGCTGAAGCAAGAATGTAAGCTTACATGCGTAAATTGCGCGCTGTTCGACCCACTACCCCAACCCACCTCCACGGGGCTTGATCGCCGGAACAAAAATGTAAACGTGCATTCTTGGTTTGTCCGCCCTTCGACCCGCTACCCTGTCCCTCTCCAACGGGGGTTGGGGGGTGAAGCAAAAATGCCAGCCTACATTCTCACTTGTTCGTGCTTCGAACCACTACCCCAGCCCTCCATGGAGTCTGGGGGGCGTGGGGATAATGTGACAGCGCGTGCTTGACTTGTCCGCCCCTTTTCCTCCCCCATCTCTGGTTAACTCAAGCTTCGCGCGGCCCGCTTAGCTTCGACCGGAAGAGGTGCGCTCTCGACCCGCGAATCAACAAAAAAGCTTGACTTGTCCGTTCTTCGACCCACTGCCCTATCCCTCCTGCACCGGGAATGGGGAGGAGGGGTAGGAGGAGAAGGAGGAGGAGGAGGAGCTCAGGGGGGGAGAGGAGGGGGAGGGAGGAGGAGGAGGAGGAGGAGGAGGAGGAGGAGGAGGAGGAGGAGGAGAGGAGGAGGAGGAGGGGAGGGAGGAAGGGAGGAGGAGGAGGAGGAGGGGAGGAGGAGGAGGAGGAGGAGGAGGAGGAGGAGAGGAGGAGGAGAGGGAGGAGGGGAGGAGGGGAGGAGGAGGAGGAGGAGGAGGAGGAGGAGGAGGAGGAGGAGGAGGAGGAGGGGGAGAAGGCAAGACTGCAAACTGGCACTATTTCTGTGTCCGCCCTTCGAGCCGCTACCCCGCCTCACCTGAGCAGCGTCGGAAGGGGCGCGCCAAGAACGTCAACTTACTTTCTAGATGTGGCCGAACTGCGACTTTCTTGCTATATCAAGAAAGTAAGCCACATCAAGAAAGTAAGCCACATCAAGAAAGTAAGCCACATCAAGAACGTAAACTTACCCTCTTGATGTGGCTTACTTTCTTGATGTGGCAAGAACGTAAACTTACTTTCTTGATGTGGGGTGTAGGGGGGCCCTGCGCGAAGGTGACACTACGTACATTCATTCCTCACGACCGAATCCTTCCTTCCTGCTTTTTTGGGATGGCGATCCAACAATGGAATGCTCCCCGACAGCGTTTCGGGAAAGGGCTTTCTGTGGGGGATCGAAAAATCCACACTGCACCTCAAAAGGGAGACGGGGAACCCGAGAACGCCCAGTTCCGCTCAGGTTCGACCGCCGCTTTGGGAGGCAGAGCCATCGGGTTCTCAACGTTCCAGCTGTCCCTGGTCACGAACGCGTGGCCAGGCCACGGGAGACTGGGAAGTTCAGCCCCCCCCCAGGCCACGCGCGTGTGGCAGGGCCACGGGGACTCGCACCACCTCGGCCCTCCCAGGTGGAGCACGTGTGGCCGCCCATGGGATGCTCACAATGTCAGCCCTCCGAGATCACAGACGTGTGGCAGGACCATCGGGAACCCTCCCCTGCAGCCTTCCCAGGCCACGCACGCGTGGCCATGGGATGCTCGCCAGTTCAGGCCTCCCAGGTCACGAACGTGCAGCGAGGCCATTTGATCCTCAAAACTTCAGCCTGCCCAGGTCATCCCAGCTAGTCCAGAGTACCTTCAGGAACCATGAGGGATCCAGAGACATCCTCAAGAGTCCTGCAGCATACTGACGAACCCTGAGGAACCCTGAAATGTGGCAGGAACATCGGATTCTCACCACGTGTGGCAAGGGCATCGGAGTCTCACTATTTCAGCCTTCCCAGGTCACAAACGAGTGGCAGGGCCATGGGATTTTCAAAACTTCGATGTTCCCAGGCCGCGAACGTGTGCCAGGGCGATGGGATTCTCAACACGTCAGCCCGCCCAGGGTACGAGCGTGTGGCAGGGCCAAAGAAGTCTCACCAGGTCAGCCTTCCCAGGCCAGCCACAAGAATCCAAAGGACCCCTCAAGATCACAGAGGAATCCAAGTTGGGGAAAAGCCTCCCCCTCCTCCTCCCTCCTCCTTTTCTCCTTACTTGCACAGAGGAAAAGGGTGTGGGAAAGGAAAGCAACATGTTTGGGGTAGGGGCTGGGTCCAGCGGAGATGGGGCTTGACGGCCCCCGTGGCCTGTATCTTGTCGACGGGACAGGTGAAGCATCCTCCTGGATGTATCCGCGTTTCGTTTGAAGCACCCGCCTCAACACTCCCGTAGATGTCTCCCATGGAATGTTACCATACTCATTTCCGCAAAACAATGCACGTGTGTTGGCTGTACTGGGTCGTGTCACTCGTGCAGAGATGAAACAAGGCGACGGGCTTGCACCGACGGGCAAAATAAAAATGGGCGGGCAGTTGACGAACATTTGAACAACCAGATACATGAACAAACAACCAATGAGATCAGTACGGCGACGACAGATCCCGCCAGCCCTCTGGGCAGGGGTAGTTTAGGGTGCCGCCTCTTCCAAAACAATGTCTTCTTCATCATCCCTGTCTCCCCGTGGTCATGGGGCCCCCTCGCGAGGGGCTGGAGAGTCCACGATACTCCCAGGGACGGATTCAACATGGTCAACTGTAGTTTAATAGAGCTTTCATCATGGCGCAACATAGTCTACATTTAGCCGCACTTTCGGACAAGCAGGGAGCAAGCCAGTTACTAGACGGCGAAACGATCGACGCGCCAAATGCGCGCCAACCGCGAACCGCGCCAAACGCGCGCCGAGTATGCAGTCGTAGCTAAAGTGGAGACGTGAGTTGCACTCCATGGGCGCGCCAAATGCGTGCCAATTAGCATAGAAGTGACCTAACAAATAACATATGGAAAACGGTACGAACATATTCCCTATCTTTATCACATGACACGGAGAGAAAAAACACGGATGGGCACACCTAATTCCGAAGGGCGTGCCGGCGGACTCTGACGGTTCCACACCCCTCCCAAAACAGGCCCCGGACCCCTCCCCAAGGCGATCCAGTTCCCCCGGACTCTTCAAAAGCCTCCAGAGAGACCCCACAAAGCGCTTAGCCCACCAAACGTTCCCACGAGGCCCCGCCCCTGGGCTCACCGGGCAGCTCAAATCGTCGCATTCCGTAAGGAAAACGTATTCTGTCGCATCTACGCTTTTGGAGTCGCATCTGCATCCTAGACGGCATAAGAGGCCCTCCAAGGAGCCCCAAGACGGCCCCAAAAGCTCCAAGACGGCCTAGTAGAACCCCAAAAGAACACCAAGACGGTCCAGACAGCCTTACAAAAGACTCCGAAACGCCCCGAAAATATCCCCAAGGAGAGCCCAAGGACGCCGACGCCGCCACCTGGCCCCGACAAGACCCCCCAACCGCTTCGCAGACGCCCTTCCAAGGCTCAACGGAGCGTCCACGATGGCCCTGTTGACGCTCCGAGACCTTCCAAGACGGCTCGAGAGACCACTCAAAACGGCCCCAGAGGACCTGCAGAGCCTCACACTACGGTCCAAGCGGCTGTCAAAAGAATTTGTTTTTTGTGTTTCTCTCTCTCTCTCTCTATCCCTCTCTCTCCCTCAAACATCCGAAGTATCCACTGACACCGAAACCACCAGCCAGGTCCGAAGGAGCCCCTTCCCCAGCTTTGCTTCCTCATCGCCGAGGTCACCACTTGACGGTTCCCCGAACCGAGAGATGGGTTCTGGATGTCGACAGGCCAGGAACAGAAAACACCTGGCAGAACCAGACGGGCAGATCGGGCGGGTAGACCCTAACGGGCGCGTCGGGAAGGCGGACCCAGGCGGTGAGGTCGAGCAGGCGGTTTGCTGAAGCGTGCGTCCTGCATGAATCGCGAGGAAGTCTCGAGCGGTGGCGCGATTCCCACGGGGGTCACGAGGGGCCTGCGAGTATGGGGCCGCAGAGGGCAAGGACGGGGCCACTGAGGGCAGAAACGGGGCCACAGCTGGTGGGGTAGGAGACGGCGGAAGAGGAACATGTGAAGGACGAGGATGATTGGTAACCAGAGGGGGCGTGAGAGCGCTTTCGCCCCTCGACGGTGCGTGGCCTCGGCGTTCCCGGCATCCGGCAGAGGGTTGTGCCCAACGACGCTGATGAGGCGCAGCGCCTCGCAGTTAGCAGAGGTGTGCGCAGAGTGAGCGGGGTGGAGGGGTAAGCAAGGGGTAGGCAAGATACAATCGAGGGTTAGGCAAGGGGTACTGAGGTGGGCGACCAGGACAAATAAGAAGATACGATATGCGGTAATGGTGTGTATGCGAGGTGTGCGATTATGTGGGCAAACCTTTGTGCCCCTCGCGCGCTGGCGAAATATGCATTCAGGCCTCACTGGGACACCCGGAATCCGATCCCGAATCGCCACGCTTCTGCTCAGGACGCTCCTGGCGCACAACCTCACCATGAGAAACATCAGGGATATGAGGAGGATGAAGAGAGGAGGATGGGACGCACTCGTCGGAGCGCTCCCGAACGGATCATCCCTCACACCCTCGTGGTCGCGGAAAGCGACTGCTGAACGCAACAGTTTGCCCAAGGCCCTCGCCAGAAAAGCCTGGGCCAATGCGCCGAACACAAAAAACTGAAAGGCTCCTGGGCGAAGACCCAGCAGCAGGTCTGTGCCGAACTCCGCGCACAGGCCCGCGTCAGGGCCGCCGTTGCACCGAACAACAGAAACGCAACACGCCATCGCCGACGCCTGCCGGCCACTGCGCTCGCGTTGACCGCCCGTGCTGCCTCCGCCCAGCCTGCTCGCCGAGGCGGGTTCAACGCACCCCAGCGCGATCGCCGCTGGCGCCGCCCCCCACGTCGGCCCCGAGAAGAAGGAGGAAGAGGAGGAGCAGCAGCAGCAGCAGAAGGAAGAGGAGGAGGAGGAGGAGGAGGAGGAGGAGGAGGAAGAGGGAAAGACGAAAGGAGGGGGAGGGGAGGGGAGGGAGGGAGGGAGAGGGGGAGGGAGGGAGGGAGGGAGGAGGAGGAGGAGGAGGAGGAGAGAGGAGGAGGAGGAGGAGGAGGAGGAGGAGGAGGGGGAGGAGAGGGAGAGAGGGAAGGAGGGAGGGAGGGATGGAGGGAGGGAAGAGGAGGAGGAGGAGGAGGAGAGGAGGAGGAGAGGAGGAGGAGGAGGAAAGAGGAAAGACGGAAGGAGGTGGAGGGAGGGGGGAGGAAGGCAGGGGGGAGGAGGAAAGACGAGGAGGAGGAGGAGGAGGAGGAGGAGGAGGAGGAGAGGAGGAGGAGGAGGAAAGAGGGAAAGACGGAAGGAGGGATGGAGGGAGGGGGGAGGAAGGCAGGGGGAGGAGAAGGAAAGGAGGAGGAGGAGGAGGAGGAGGAGGATGGAGGAGGAGGAGGAGGAGGAGGAAAGAGGGAAAGACGGAAGGAGGGATGGAGGGAGGGAGGAAGGCAGGGGGGAAGGAGGAGGAGGAGGAGGAGGAGGAGGAGGAGGAGGAGGAGGAGGAGGAAGGGAGGAGGAGGAGGAGGAGGAGGAGAGGAGGAGGAGGAGGAGGAGGAGGAGGAGGAGGAGGAGGAGGAGGAGGAGCTCCAGGCAACCCGCTGGAGAAGCTCCCTGCCGATCCCGCCGTGCTGGGCGCCAGCCCCGGTGCACGGAGGCCATGCCACGGGCCACAGCAACCGTCGACGTCTCCCAGGGAGGCGCTCGGCCGCACGCGCACGAGGCGCCCAGGCTGCGGCCGCGCGCGGGCCCGAGCCTCTGTGGACATCTCAGCATTCTCTCAGGGTGGAGGGCTCAGTGTTTTCTGACCATCTTCTCGGGGTGGAGGGCTCAGGGTGAAGTCCATATGGGCTTTTTTGCACCTCGGAAACCAGTCCGTCTTGTGGTTCACCTTTTGCAGGTTCAAGCCTCGAAAATCAACCGAAGCGGCATTTCGGATTTCACCCCTTGCCCTCCATCCAAAGAAAATGCTCGGGACATGGGCGGTCCAGTTGGCACGAACGTAATCTTTTTTTCCGTCGGCCGCGAGGCGGGACAGTCCGCTCCAGCGTGGCAGCGATGCATGGGGCACTGCAGAGCGAATCGGCCGGCGCGCAGGAGGAGGGACGAAGAAGGGCAGGGCGGCCGCGGGGGGGGGGCACGAGCGTAAGCAAAGCATCCGACCAGACAGCTGGTGAGTGGACGTATGCTGCGAAAGCGGCACTGACCGACGTTGACGGTCACCGTGTGCAGCGGCGCAGGCCCAACTGGCAGCCATCGCGAGGCAGCGTCTTTCAATCACCCTCGATGCGCTGTTCCCGAGCGCGTGCGTCTTTTGGTTACCCATGCGGGCCACCGTAGGGCCGCAACCCGCTCATGCAGTGCCAAATTTCGGAAACAAAAGCGTGGGTGCCTACTCGGCAGGATACCGCGGGGATCGAGAAAGACACGGTATGCCTCCCGTTAAGCCGCGGGGCCTCGAGACAATGTTGGAGTTCGAGCCGATTTGGGAATTTCAAACGCATCTCTCACCCCTTTATAATCATTTAAAGGCCAAATGGGATCAGCGTCTGAAAGTGCGATTCCGCCCGAGAATTCCTCAACAAACTTTCAGATCGCCTTCCAGGGCGATCTGAAAATTTGCCATGGCATCGGAAAATCGCGATTTCGCGTGGGACTTTCTCGGACAAAATCAGATCGATCTTCATGCTGCTTGAGAATGGCGATGTCGCCAGAGAATTCCTCACAGGCTATTTTATGGCCGCTTTTCACGCCGACAGAGTGGCGATTTCGTTTGAGCTTTCCTAGCGACCACGCGTCTCGTCCAGCCCTGCGGCGCCATTCTCCAGTTCGGGTCACGAGCCTGTCTGGGAGTCATCTTGGGATCGATCGAAGGTCGAAGCTCGAGGTTTTATCGATTAGCGAAGACCCAAGGGTTGTTCCCTCGCGCTGTGCCGATCATCAAATTTTAATCCCGGAGGTTTTACATTCGGACCACGGGGCTGTAAGAGGAAGGGCGACGGGAGGATGGGGTAGAGCAAGAGCCAATCGAGCAGAAGAGCGAGTAAGAGCATGAGCCCAAGGGGGATCAGTAGCACCAGTTACATGAACAATGCTAAAGACGAAGGGGGAAGAGGGAATATGCCAAGGACGAGGATACATGATATACTCAGAGGTGAAGAAGGAAACAGAGGAAGGGGAGGAAAGAACGCACATCAGGGGAGAGAAGGGGGAAGGGTTGGGAGAGACAGCGGGGGTGGACTTCAAAGGGGAGGATAAGGAGGAGCTTAACATGCGGCTAAGGACGAATACCCATCTGTGGTTCATGTTTATACATGTGTATATATATATATAGGAATGTGGATATGACACCCGACCTTCGAGCTAGAGCTTCCAGCAGCGGCAGTGGTCAGTACCGTTCAAGATACTGACCACATTCGCTGATGAAAGGCGAGCGCTTCGACGACAGCCGTTTGCAGACCCCAAATTTCCATAAGTTGTTGGATGAATGTCTTCTCCCTACACTTTGTCAACCTACACTCCGCACCTGTGAACTTCACCCACATAGATACCCCAAACGCCAACGCTTCATAGTTGGCACGGCACAGCACGTAAGCTTGTTCTGAGAAGGCGAAAACCCACCCCCACCCCCAGTCCCGACCCCATCGTCGAACCCGCGATCCAGGGGTTCGGGACTGGGGGTGGGGGTGGTTTTTCGGAGTCCAGGAATGGAGAAAACCCACCCTCACCCACAGTCCCGACCCTTGAATCGCAGGCTCGGGGATGGGCGTCGGGACTGGGGGTGGGGGTGGGTTTTCGCCTTCTGATGTTCCTAAAGCGCAAACCAGGCCGGGCACGGCACGGTGACTTCTCCGCAGCCCGAGAACCAAACCAAACACAGCCCGGCACGGCACGCGGCAAGTTTTTGCCGCGCTCTCGGAAGCAACCACGGCACGGCACGCGGGCACGGCATGCCAACCTCCTCGCATGCTCGACGCCGAGCCGGCACGCGGGCACCGCTCGGCGACTCTTGCTCGCGCTCTCGAAGGCAACCACGGCACCGCACGGCACGCGGGTACACACCACGGCGCGGCAACTCTTCGCACTCGCGAGACCAGGCACGGCACGGCATGGGGCAGCACGCGCGCGCGGCAGGGCCACCTTTTCAGCGTTTCTCGAAGTCGACCACGGCACGGCACGGCACGCGGGCACGGCACGGCCACTTTCTGTTCGCACACTCGAGACCAAGCGCGGCGCGGCACGCGGGCAGGGCACGACGCGAGGCGTTTTCTTTTGCGTTCTCGAAGCCCACGGAACGGCGCGGCACGGCACGCGGGCACAGCTCGGCACGCGGCATGCCTCTGCATCCTGGAACCCAGAACCGCTCTTCCCAGAAGAGTTGAAGCCCCTTGCAGCATGCGCTGTCTCAGGACCGCTCGTCCCTGTGGCTCATCTGTTGCACGATGTGCCCCCATTACGCTGTGATTCTAATTTGAGCTTGTGCACACGAATGAGCCAACCCACCAGCTAGTGGACGTCACACGAGGAAGTCTCAAGGATGTTGTCCCCAGAGAAATTAAAACACAAGACGTCTCCGATCATCGTTGCCACCTTTGCGCTGTCATGGCCACTGCTGTCCCACCTGCATGAATTTGGCTGTTTCTTCTCTCTCTCTCTCTCTCTTCTCTCCCTCTGTCTCTCTCTCTCTCTCGCTCTCGCTTTTTGTTGTTTCTCTCTCTCTCTCTCTCTTTCTCTCCCTTTCCCTCTTTTTTTATCTCTCTCGCTCTCCCGTTCTGTCTATTTGTCCTCCTGTCGGCCTCGCCAGCCTGATTCGCCTTCTCCTCCGCCCCCTTCTTCGCACTCTGCTCTGCCGCTTGCTTCACCTCTGCCTCTGCTTCTGCCGTCGTTCCGCTTAGGCCCGGGCCTCCGCCTTCGAACCATGCCTCGCCCCCTCTCTTTCTCATCGGCCTCCCTCGCATTTCTCCCGAGAAAGCTGCGCGGACGCAGCGGTGTCTCACACAGGCCCAAAACGTCGGCAGCGTGGACCAAACGTGCCGCTCCCTCCACCCAGCCCCGCGCGCGGGGGCGCGCGCGGGGAGGCGGCCAGAGGAAGGAAGACATGGTAAGAGTACGCTCGGACCGAGGCCAGAAGAACACCCCTCGCCTCGAGAACACGAGGCCCTCCGTCGGCCAAAGCAGACAAAACATCCACAGGGTGCCCTCCCCAGGGTGCACGAAAGAACGCCCAACAGACATGATGAGAACACCAGGGCACCCTCCCCGAAGCGACCTCGGTCTCTATGCCTCGGCCCGACTGCGCGAGGAAGTGCACTGAACGGGGAGGCGGAAGGTGTGCTGTGCACGGGGTGCCGCGCGCCCGGTTTGCTCGCACGTGGCCCTCTCCCCCGACCTCCTCGCCGGCCGTCGCGAAGACGGCGTCTGGGCTCGTCGGGGCTCAGGGGCCGAGGCCCCACTTGGCGGCGCGCAGAGGAGGGGATAGGGGGAGGGGGGAAGGCTTCCGAGAAGGAGGCTGCTTCTTAGAAGGCGCCGGCCTTACATGTACGGAGAAGGCCCGCGCCTTCTTCTAAGGAGCCTTTCCCCCTCCCCCTACCCCGCCCTGCGCGTGGCCGACCATTCTGATGAGCGGTGGACTGCCTGGGTGTCCCACCCCTCCCGTGTCGCCTCGTCGTGTCGCCTCGTCGTGTCGCTCGCGTTCTCGCCGTCGTCGTGGTGGTCGTCGTAATCGTCGTCGTCGTCGTCGTCGTCGTCGTCGTCGTCGTCGTCGTCGTGGGTGAACAGCTTTGACGGTTGGGGGCCCACCGCCTTCAGCCCCTCGTGCTCGACATCAGCAGGCAATACCTGTCGCGGGCCAGGTGCGGTCGCTCTGGCCGCGGAGCGACCTGACGGGCACCGGGCACCGAGCCAAGGTGGGCCCGAGCGGGCCCGCAAGTCTGAGCGGGGGCCTCATGGGACCTCTTCCTGGCGCTCGGGCCACACCATGAGGGCCCGTGTCCTCAAAGACGTTGGTATGAGGAAAACAAGCGCTGGCTCAAACGGGTCCTGGACCCCCAGGGCCTCCCCCCAGGACCAGCTCAAACGTCCCGAGCTGTTTCATGGCGACCCGGGCGGGGCACCTCCAGACCCGTGTGTCCCAGGGCCCGCTGCCTTCATGACGAGGGCCGCCGCCTCCAGATCCGCAGTGCTGTGGTGGATTATTCTACTTAGTTACGCTTGCGTCGATTTTTCTTTCCACCCCAAGGGATCTCGAGAGGGCCCGCTGAGTTCCCAAAGCCTCGGACACCACCAGAGCCACAATCCCTGCGGCTCCTTAGCCTGTGCCAAAGGCCGTGCGACGGGACATACAGCAAGGCTTGAACAGCCCTGGCGAGAGAACAGTGTCGGAGATGCACCCCGCACGGCGTGCAACAATAGGGCGGAAATTTCTGCTTCAGACAAACAGGGCTGGCGCTTCTATCTGTATAGTCTTTGCCCGTTGCCATCTCTAGGCGTGCGTCGTCGTCTTCCTCTTGCTCTACTCAGCTGGAGCGACGTTTCACCAATTCCCGAATGCGATTGCTTGAACTTCTGTTTCTGCCCACGCGCCGTACGGCGTATGGCTTGTGAGTGAGTGAATGAGACAAGCAGGGCGAATCGTCCCGCAAAGGTACATGGCTGAAAAACGGCGACGGCAAAGCGGGGCGGACATCGACAAAGGAGCCCAGGGTGGGAAATTGCCACCCACTTGCGAAATCTCCCAAAGGTACGGCGGATCCTGAGTCAGGCCCCCCCTGAGAACATCCCCCACTACCCTTTGGCTTTCGGGTCATAACTCGGCTCTCTGGCCGTTCGGGACGATCTGGGCACCCCCGGAACGCCCTCGGCGAGGCGCACGCAGCCGCTGGAACGCATCCCCAGGCTGGAAAAACCGTCGAGAACCCACGAAAACGCCCGAAATCCTCGCACCTCGAACCCGACGCCCCCCCCGGGGCCCCTCCTGGGAAGAGGCCCGAGGAGACCCCCCTTCCCCCCGCTCGGCGGGTGGCCTGGCGGTCGGGGTCGCTCGCCGCTCCGGCGCCGCTGGCGCAGGCGGCCGCGGCGGGCTCCCTCGGCCCAGCGAGCTGTGGGAGATCCTCCCGGGGCGGAGCGGGGACGGGGTCGGAGGCACCTCTCACATCAACCAGCGATGCGACCAGCACGGCGTTCAACGTTGAACGCCTCCTCCTCCTCCTCCTCCTTCTATCCTGCTCCTGCTCCTGCTCCTGCTGCTGCTCCTGTCCTTCCTCCTCCTCGTCCTCCTCCTCGTCCTCCTCCTCGTCCTCCTCCTCCTCCTCCTCCTGCTCCTCCGTCCTCCGTCCTCCGTCCTCCGTCCTCCGTCCTCCGTCCTCCTCCCTCCTCCTCCTCCTCCTCATCCCCCCTCCTACCTATCCCTCCCCTCCCCTTCCCTCTTCCTCCTTCCGCTCCCCCTCTCGCGCTCTGCCTCCCGCTCTCGCTCCCAATGTCGTTTCCGCTCCCGCTCAAGCTTCCGCTCTCGCTCCCTACATCTGTCATATTGCCCCTCCCCCTCCCCCTCCTCCCTCCTCCTCCTCCTCCTCCCTCCTCCTCTTCCTCCCTCCTCCTCCTCCTCCTCCTTCTCCTCCTCCTCCTCCTCCTCCTCCTCTTCCTCTTCCTCCTCCTCCTCCTCCTCCTCCTCCTCCTCTCTCCTCTCCTCCTCCTTCTCCCCCTCCTCCTCCTCCTCCTCCTCCTGCTGCTCGTCCTCCTCCTTATCCCTTCCCCTTGCCCCTCCCCCTCGCCCGCTGCCCCCTTGCGCGCCCCCTCCAGTTCCTGCAGCTGCCGCTTCTCCCGCCCGCCTCCCCCCGGGAAGGCGGCGGCGGCTCCTCCAGGAGGATGCCGGCCCTCCTGCAGTCCTCGCGGGAGAGGCCCGCAGCCCGCAGCTCCTCCCGCAGCTCCCGGACGAGGGCGGCGATCCTGCCCCGCATCGCGGCGTCAAGGCCCGGCGAGACCGCGCGGGAAAAAGCGGGGTTCGGCTGGGTCAGGAAGAGGAGGAGGAGGAGGAGGAGGAGGAGGAGGAGGAGGAGGAGGAGGAGGAGGAGGAGGAGGAGGAGGAGGAGTAGGAGGAGGAGGAGGAGGAGCGACCATAGCGTCCAGGAGTCCAGGTGGCGTCTATGGCCGCAGAGCGTGCCGTGCAGTGGCGAGGCACTCAGTGCCAGTAGCGTAAAGAAGCGCGGCGCTGGGCGCAGCGCCGAAGTGAACTGAAAGGGCCGTCCTTTCGGATGGCTTCTGCAATGGCATGCTCTGGATTTGTGTGTTGCTCGCACGTCCCCGAGCTTAGGCAGACGAGGGGGTCGGAGGACAAAAAGGCACGGGGCAAGGGGAGGAAGTGCAGGAGGTGAGGACAGGTGATGTAATGGCCGAGACGGCCCGAGCAATCATCGCAACCGAACAAACATGTTTGGCGAGGCCCGAGCGGGAAACGCTGGCTGGTCCACCAGGCTCCTGCTAGGCTCTTGTACACAGCCCAGCGTAGAACTGGGGCCTACTGCGACAGGTGACTGGCAAACCCCTTGCCAACGCTGGTTGACATCGCTCGGCGAACCCAGTTCTTGCAGAGCTGCGCGCAGGCGGCGAGTCCAGGTTTCGGCGGAAGTGTCGGGGTAGAGAAAGTGTCGGGGTAGAGAAAGACGGGCCCGCCGCTGATCACGAGCTGCTGATGACTTCTCGTCTTCAGCTGCTTGCCACTTCTGCAGTGGCACTTGATACGGCGGCATGTCTGTGCCGAGACGATGCCAATCTTATCCGATGCTTGGGCTCTTCCAAAACACAAGGGAAACCGTGGCCCGCAGGCGAGCTGTCCGAGGCCCGCGAGGGAACGTTCTGGATTGAGGTGGTCTTGCGCGCGCGTGAGCTCGCGCAGTGGCTTTTGCCGTGCAGGGGGCGTGACTGCTGCTGCCCTCCAGGCACAGGCTAGCGACAGCGGGGCGAGCGCTGAGGGGGAGGACGAGTGCGACCACGAGCGAATACCCAGGAGGTCGACGAGGCGCCACGACTTGGGGGAAGCTCGCAGAATCTTGCGCAGCGTGCCGCGCTCGTGGCGAAGAAAGGAATCCGGGAAGGGGAAGTACTGGATGAGGTAGGAGAGTACGGTGATAACGCACGCGCTATACAACTTGACGGGAACTGCTGGGCCTGGAGCGGACACAGCTATCTGCGCAACTCGTGGCCAGTATTTGTCGAAAGCGGTTTCTCACTGAGCATGCAGCGCGGCAGCTGGGCCACTGAGAACGACGACGTAGCGCACGTGCGCTGCCACCTGGATGCGCCGCCATCCGGGGGTGAGGAAGGCAAGGGGGCGCTGAATGAAGGACTGAACTGTTGGCGAAAAGGCGGCCCGCAAAGACACAATCACCGTCTTCTGGTCTGACGCTCAAGTCCCGCGAGAATTGCACTGGCCCAAGTGGGGGGAAGAGATGCGGGAGGGTCCCCGGGCAAGCAAAGACGAAACCCAGATCGTCTGCGCAGGCCCCGAGCTTGTTGGATCCCGGAAGGGCGCGTGGGATAGCTAATGGGTGCCTCATATGAGGCACCGAACGCGAGTGCCCAGATAAACCTCGAAAGAAGGCACCCCTGCACGACGCCTGAGCCGATTCCAAATATGCACTGGAGACGGCCGCCAAGTCGAGCCCAAGCGCGAGGGGGGCTGCAGAGGGCTGCGATGGCACTTAGATGGCCTGGAGGGACTCCGTGAACAGCGACAGCTGAAAACCAAAAGACCCACCCTTAGGATGGGAAGGCCGCTTTTAATCCGATTGGAAAGGGCATCCAGTCGCAGTTCTTGAGTGAGAGAGGACGGGTGGCGACTGGATCGCGGGATGCTCCTGGGGCTCGTCACCTTAGTGCAAGAAGGCAAAGGTCGACTCGTTGAACTGATGCGGGGCTTGGCCTGTTTCGAACATCTGCGTCGCGATGTCATGGGGGATCTGGGAGGAACCGGGGCGCGTCGCCCATGCTGCATAAGGGATCTGATCGGGGCCTGGGGCAGCGTGATTGACCTTGCGGAGGGCCCTCTGGGGATCCTCCAGCGCTGGAGCACGTAGGCCCGCGCAGTCGAAGTTTGGGAGGTCTTTTTCGAAGCGCGTCTGGACCGCGTCGAGGCCCGCGATCTTGGCCGAGAAGACTGATCGCAAAATCTTATGAACCCTTCCAGGGATCCCCTCTGGATGCCTTCCGTAGAGGAAGTGGTGGCGTGAGTAGGCTTCGCTGAGTCCTCTTTCGATATCCTAAGTCCTGAGAGTACATGGCGAAGCCTGAAATTAACGCGCGCCAGATCTGGGCGCGCATGGCGAGCTGCATTGCGGCCTTCCGGCTGCCGGGCTGGTCGAGCGGGCCGCCGGAGTTGCTCTGCTGGCGCTTGGTAGCGAGAGAGACGCGCGCTTGTCGTAGTCGGCCGTGCATGGCCGCGCTGTCCATGGTCTCGATGAACTCGCCTCTGCGGATGAGCTCGGGGCCGTCGGAGGTGATGCGCAAGTTGTAACTGTCCAGTTCGGTCGCGCCCCTGACGGCGATGCTGCGTCGGAGTCGCGTCGCCAGATGACGCGGGATATCGCTCGCAAAGTAGTGGGCCTGCCATGCTTTTCCCATCGACAGAAATATTGTAGTGACGCTCGTTGCTGTAGACTGCGCGTCAGACGTGCTGCCCCCTCTACGATGAGCTCGCGCTGCCGCCAGGCAGCAGTAAGAGCGAAACTTGCCCCGGCAATGTTGCCGCCAAAATGAAAAAGTGAGCTGGCGTGTCGGGTCGTGGGAAATCATGCGGTCAATGGCGGGTTCTACAACTCTGGCCGCGGTGACATTGGCTGAGCATCAAATTAAGAATGCCATGATCACTCAGCCCGGCATCTTCAAGTTCGCGCCGGGGTCGAGGAGGTCAATGCCCGACAGGGGGGCGAACGTTCTGTCGACGACAGTCGCCGCCTGCGCGCTGGCCGAGAAGTGCGCGGGCAGGTCGCGATCCCCGTGGGCGTCGCGAACAGATGGCGCCATCGCGCTTGCTCTCGCTGATAGCGCCCGTCGGGCGCCAAAGGCCGCCGGCGCGGGGGGGGGGGCCGCGGAAATTTGGCGACGGGGCGGCGCTGGCGTTGAAGCCGCCCATGGCGATGAATCTGCATCTCCGCGGGTCTGTCGCGGCCCATCTCCGGGAGGCGCGCCGCGCCTCGGCCGCGTGAGCCATGTCCGCTGCGGCGAGGTCGCGATTGTGAAGGGTAGCGAAAAGCGCCTCGAAGCCTGTAGTGCGACTGGCGATATGAAAGGTGGCCGCGCGCACGTGGACCGCGGGGTGAATGGTGGCCGTCGCGTTTTTGTCTGCCGTGGTCGGGGCGAAGAATGCCGCTCCTCCTTTACCTGCATCCGTCGAAGAAGACGTCGTGTGTGTCGGGAAACTTCGCGATGTGTGATTCCAAATCTAGTTGCGATCCATGTGCTTCCTGAAGCTCATCCAGCGCTTCCTTTCGAGGAAGGGAATGACTCGTCGCGCCCCGCCCCGTCGCTCGCGCTCGCCGCGGCAGAGAAGTCCGCGAGCAGCCCAGCAGACGCAGTGGCTAGAGGGGCCCGGGGTCGCCGAAGTTGTTGTGGAGGAAGACGGCGAAACCTGTTTCGGCGACGGAGTAGAACGAGCTGGCGGCGGCGATTTGGCTGCCGAGGAGCTGATGGAACTGGCGCTCGAGGTCGAGCTCGCTGATGTCTTTGACATTCCGCTGGGTCCTGACGTAGTAGAAGAAGGGGGGGCCCGTGAATGAAGAGTAGTCGGTCTTGTTCAGGTAGTAGAAGTGCTTCGACGTTTGGAGGCTGAAATCTATGACGCAGTAGAGCTGGATCCTGATCACATGGCCAGTGGGCGCACAACTGTGGATACTGGTCAGCTTCTGGCTGGCCGTGTCCAGCATCTTGTGGAGCTTGTGCGGGTTCCCGAGCAGGCTGACGTTGAAGTGGTGGACGTAGGGGCGCGCCATCCATTCCTGGGCCCACGGATGGGCGAACGTGATCTGCATTCGTGGGCGTCGAACGCCATGGCGAACATCGTTTGTTACGCCCGCTGCACTCGGTCCTCGGCCTTGTGGAGAGCGGCGGGTTCTGCGGCGATCGTGGCCTTGGCCAACGCATCTGGACTCCGACGAATGACCGTTGCTGCGCCCATGCTAGTGAGCCCCAATTTGGCGGCGGTGATGGCGATGCAGAAGATGCGCCCATGATCGCGACGCGTGCGCCAATGTGGCGTGGTCATGGTTCTGGCGGGGGGCGAGGAGCTTTTTGGTCTGGGTCTCGAGTCGAGCGCGGCGGAGATGTGGCCTGGGTTGACGTAGAGCGGGACGTTCTGGCAGTGATTGGTGACGCAATCGGACGGCACCTGCGCTGCGAATCTGTGGTATCCACCACTTCCAGGAAGTTGAAGTGCTCGCGCCAGTGCCACTACTCGTGGCATTGCCACCTAGCGGCCTCTGGCCAACTGAAAAATGAATACGCGGTTGGGTCCTTCTCAGTAAGCCTGGTCGTGCCGGTATCCAATTTCTGCTGCTGCCAACCACTATATACCACTATGCACTTGAGGCGAGAATCGTTTCGGTGGCGACGGGCTGGGCGCATGAGAGAACGAAGACTGCGGGGTCTGGCTTGCGATCCCACTGCGATGGCTTGGCCATGTCCAGGATGGGGGCGTCGGCGCCCGAGAGGCTAAGCTGCTGGTTCATGCGGTTGATGGCTTCCCATACTTATGTATGCTGTGCTTCTTGTTTGGCTTGCGCTGTCTTGATGGCCGTGCGATCCCGTTATTGTCCTGCGGGTCGCAGCTGCTTCGTGTCGATGTGAGGCTGCCACGAATTCAATTTGAGACGCTGCGCCTGCGCTTCCAACTGCGGTAGTGACAATGGCAATGTGTGCTGCCATGATGCTTTGAAGTCCTGGTTGTACGTCTGGTG